ACAAGTCTGGGGCACTCATGCCCCCCACTGGGAATGCACACAGTGGCAGGGAGACAGCTCCCCCACTGCCTCCTGGATGAGCCACCTATAGCTCTGTCCTGCTCCCTGCCAGGGCCCTGCAGTCACACATGCCAGATCCAGCCCTGGACCCCAAGCCTCAGGCCCCACACACCACCCCAGCTAAGCAGTGACTCCTGCCCCAGCCCTCCCCAATTCCTCCCCCCGTGCCAACTTACCTGGAGGGAGTCACACAAACTGTTCTCTAAGCTGCCTGACTACCATATGCGTGTGTGCACATACACATACATGTAAAGCCTCCTGCTTGATTGCCCTCTGCCAGCCTGCAAGGAAAAACCTGCTGTTTCCTGCATCTACCCTCTAAAGGAGAAAATCCGCATTTTTCTCCTTACAATGAGAAAGTCCATGTTTCTCTGTTTTTCCACGCAACCAAGGCCACATCATCAGCAAACAGAAAATCTTCCAGAACCAACTTTCACTTTGGTTTTCCCTCTAAACCAGGGATGGGAAACTTCCAGGCCGCCAGTCAGCTGGGGACTCTGTTTCCCAGCTGCCCCTGCCCACATGGCTTGTGCTAGTCTCCCCTGGCTTGAACATGTAGGCTACAGAATGCGGCTCTGCCCCAGCTCTGGAGCAAACTGCCCCATCCCATTTTCTCAGCAGCTCCGGTGCAGGACCCTGCGCTGCTCTGCTGGTGCAGCTCAGGTCTCCATGGAGACCAGCACTGGCCATGTGGGCAGGGGCGGCTGGGAAATGGAGCCTCAGGCCGACCAGGTCCAGCCTGTGGACCAGACATTCCCCGTCCCTGCTCTAAACCTTGCAGTGTTGAACAAGCCTCCATTTATTCTGACTTGAAGATAAATGCTATCATTGTTGTCCTTAAATGCATGAAGAAACAGGAATGAAACATAGATGTTAAGGATCACGAGGGCTAAGACAACCCTGATCATGCCTTGGTCTGCTGCAAAATCCAAATCAATGCCAAAAAGATCTACCCTAGCAAAACTAGCAGTTGTCCTCAGATTGACATCAGCCAAACTAAAGATGTAGAATATTCAATGAAGCTGTGAAAACAAGTTTACCTACCAAGTCAGTCAGTTAGGCTTGAGAATATGTAAACACAAACATGTACAATTGCTGCTGTAACAGGTTGGCAAAAGATGCAAGAAAAATGCAGACTGGTTTGAAGAGCACTTTGAAACCTTCCTACCATTGGTTGAGAACAAAAGGACATTACTTCCATCTCTACAAGAGAACTTTGAACATCACAACCCTGAATAATTTGAGAAAGAAGAAAAATGCAAAAGAAGGCTAGTAAGTGTGCCCAAGATCACTTATAGCATGAAGGAAGAATTTCGGTGTATAGTAGAAGTGGGCAAAATATGGCCTGTGGGTCAGATATAGCTCTGCCTGGCCCAGATGCAGAAGGCAGCCCAGGTCATGGTATATATAGCCATCCCACTGCCCCTGGATGCGCAGCAGGGCAGGGGAAGTGTGGGGACTAGATTCTCTGCCTGGCTGCCACTATCTTGCACCCCAGCTGGGGGTGCTGGATGGAGAGGGTCAGCAGGGTCTCTATGATCATCACTAGCCCCCAGTGGGCAGGGTGTGCTTGGCTGGATGGATGGGATGGGGCCTTGGCAAATGGGTGGGAGTAGCATCCGAGAGCAGGACAGGCATGTGAGGATGGGACTGGGATCTGGTAAGAGCTGTAATCTGTTCCCCGGATGTTCCTGCGACGGGTGCTGGTTCCATCACAGAGATGTGCGGGGAGTGGGTTGTGGCTCTGCCCCAGGGCTTGGCTCTGTGCTGTCACCGCCCTGTGATTCCAGACCTGCCCCACTCCCAGGTGCTATTCCCTAATGGCTCAGCTGAGCATGCCCTACCCATGGGGGTCCCAGGCTAGTCACCCAGCAACCCCAGCAGTGATGGCCTGGGACTGTATAGGACAAACTGCTGCCTTCCTCCCGCCTCC